AAACATGATATTCTTCTCCAGCGACTGGTCCCTCCTGACAATATGTCCAAAGTATGAGAGAGGAAGTTTGGCCATCTTGGCCTCCAAGGAGCACTCTGGTTGCACTTCTTCCAAACCGAGTCACTGTACCAAATGGAAATGGTTCATTGAAGTTCAACCATTTAAAGAGGTGGTTACCTTATATTCCATTAATTCTTCCCTCCATTTAAGACAGTCTATTTTATCCTGTAATCTACCTGACCTTCCCACCACCTGGATCTCCGTTCCTCTGTGTTTACCTTCTTTCACTGTAATTGTTTTGATCATAGGCTGACCTCCCAGATCCTCTGTTCTTGTAACTTTATTCTGTTCTTGACTCTTTCATTTGTTGATTGAGTTCAGGGTGATGTTGCCTCATTCTCTGGTTGTTGTTTCTTCTTGTTGGTTCCCAGTCCATAGAACTTCTTTTAGGATGTTTTTCATCGCAGGGTTGGCTTTGGCAAAATCCCTTAGCTTCTGTTTATCCTGGAATGTTTTGATTACACCATAGTATTTGATTGACAGCTTTGCTGGGTAGAGGATTCTTGGGTGGCAGATTTTTCTTTCGGGGTTTTATATATGTCTCCCCATTGCCTTCTTGCCTGCATGGTTTCTGTTGAGAGATCTGAGTTGAATCTGATTTGCTTGCCTTTGTATGTTACACTTCTCTTTTTCCCTAGCTGCTTTCAGGATTCTGTCCTTATCTTTGATTTTGGAGAGCTTGATTATTATGTGTCTTGGTGATTTTCTTTTAGGGTCTATCCTTCCTGGGGTTTGTTGAGCTTCTTGAATGCTTATTTTTTTCATTTTTCAGGATATTAGGAAATTTTTCTTCCAGAAGCTCTTCAACTATCTCCTCTGTTAACTTGTGTGACAGTTCCTGTTCCAGAATGCCGATAATTCTTCACTATCTCCTCTGTTAACTTGTGTGACAGTTCCTGTTCCGGAATGCCGATAATTCTTAAGTTATTCCTCTTCATGTTGTTCAACATGAATCTTAGGCCTCCTTCAGATTTTTTTTATCCTTTTTTGTGTTTGCTCTTCTGTCTTAGTATTGTTGAGAGATTTATCTTCTAGCTCAATAGTTCTAGCTTTTATCTCTTCAATCCTACTCCTTTTTGCTTTCAGTGTATTGTCCATTTCTGATATTTTATTATTAATTGTTTGGAGCTCTTTCTGTAGGTTGTGAATTGTTTCCAATGCTGTTTCTATTTTACTTTATTGTTCCTATAGTGCTTTCCTGACTTTTTCCTTATTTTTCTCAAATCCATTGTATACATTTTATAATCATTTTTCTGAATTCCTTCTCAGTCATTTCCAAAGCCTGCCCATCATCTAGTATGAAGTGTAGGTCTACTTCTAGCTCATTTGCCTCAGTCACTTTATCGTTTTTGGACATGTGCTGATATGGTCATCTGTTTCTGTTTTTTGGGCATATTCAGGAGTTATCTGTGGCTTCCATACTAGATGGGTGTGTATATTGGTATTTTTTATGCTTTCTGATTGCCTCCAGGTAGATGTGATCAGGAGATGGGCTTCCCTTTTCACTCTTCTTCCTGAGAAATTTCAAGATGCCACTACTGGTCGTTGGGACATAAATTAGGATTTCATTTTTGGCT